CATTACAGTTTCTGCATGTTGTACTAATTTTGGTGAATCTAAGCCTAAAAACAAAGATGTTGTGCAAGATGTATGTGGCGTATTGAGCAATTTGTTCCCAGAATAGTACGTTTTATACAATATATACATGTATTTATAGTTTGATGTTATTTTTTGTAGTGTCATAAAAAAGGCCCAAGAGTAGACAAAGCTAAATTGTAGTATAATAATAACAGTAAAAATAGTAAGAACACATAATAATAATAACAATGATAAAAATAATACTTGTTAAGTTACACATAAATTTAGGGGTAATTTTAGCAATTCAGTGTTTGATCATTCATGTGTAAGTTTTTTAACATACTCAAACTATCAATTGTTTACCACATGATCTAACGAAACAGCTTCAACATGACTAATTCGTTCTTTGTTACTTCTATTTCTGGTCTGTCTTAATTTCTTAACATTCCTACCGACAGATATACACGAACATACTAAGCAGCTCCACCCACACACAACCAATAATAAGAATAAAACACCACCTGGTGCTACACCTGCTGCTAAATACTGATTTTTATAGTCTTTATCGCAAAGTGGATATACTGTTAGATTCACTTCTCCACGAAAGCTACTGCTAGAAGTACCAAATATGTACCATCTATCATCAACGAAGTCATCATCATTGTTAGTACATTCCTGATCACTGATAACAATGGGAGGACATGATGGGCTCAGAATACAAGAGCTTTCCTGATCATGTATCAAATACTCTGAAATATATCCTGAAATATTGACAGTTAAATGTACATTCATTACGTGCGAAATGACGAAAAGGAAATGAGAATGCATCTCTCTTCATGTTTAAGGAGAAATTATAAGTACCAGATTCATTAAGACACGGAGTAAAGTTGTAGGCATTCTGAGGTATATCACTTGGCAGTTTATATGGTGTAGCATCAAAATAGTTTGCGAAATCATCATGAGAGATGAAAGTAGCCATTCTCACTGCACAATCACCTCCGTTGCTGTTTGTCAAATTAAAGGAAAAGTTCACAACACCTGGTCCATCAGCATTATAAAGTGGACTGGATACATCATAATATCTCAGGAATATGGGACGTTCGTCAGTAAAGTTAAAAGGACGATTCACATGCTGCAATTCTTTGGACGACATGTTAAATCCGTTTCTTTGTACTTGATGTATCACTGTTCCATTAGCACGAAAACCATCAGCATTCTGGAGTGCTTCGATCTGTAATTTTTGGACAGCGTTAGACCTGTATACTTCACCAATTTTGACAACCGTCCTAACTCCAACGGAATGATTTTGGCTGTAGCTATCATTGATTGTCACGTGTGGGTAGTTAGGAAGGGTCAAGAGTATTAAGATGGGGATAAAGGTAACTATAGCAACAATACTGAGACAGAATGAGAAACAACAAATTCTTTTGCAACCTAAACAACAACAGGTAGAGGATAAGTAATCATTAAACAATTAAAGGTTAGTGTGTGTGTACATATACATTGTGACACATACACTGTATGACCTCACTGTTAGTGTATGGCCACTATTAGTATGTACACATTCCATGATTCGTATTACATGTAATTTGGTTTTGTTTTTGTGCGTGTTTTTTGACCGTCATAAATCACTTTGTTAATTATTTTTTGTTTTATTATCATTACTTACATATCTCCCAGTGAGTAGGTACTTGTTGATTATGACGTTTCTGATAGTCGACAATCTCTTTCGGATATTTGAGACCACACTCCCTAAACCATTTCAAGACGTTATCCAAGCTCTCTGAATCAAATCCATGTGGTTCTGGCTGGTTCTTCATGAGCTCCAAAAGATGACAGGGTGACGTGATTCCTGTGTCGCTGTATCCAGTCAAAACGTTAAGTCTGAGATGATCTTTCAATACTTCGTAATCACTGTCCTTCATCGATGTCATGGCAACAGTTAGTGTCAGCCACATGTCGAAATTTGGATACTTGTCATAAATAATTATTGCTTCTTCATTGGGCTTCTCAATATCTTCATTCCTCGTACCGTAACGTAGTATACTGAGGATAAGACGTAAAAGTGATGGAGCATCACTGAATTGTTGAGTCAGGACGTTGTAGAGAAGATTAAATATGAGCTGTCCCCATTGATCCTTTGCAGACGCTACCAGCTCCTTATTGATACCCAGGCCAAATTCACACACATACTCGATACACAGCAACTGTTTATCGGTAAGACTATCGTTTAAGAGATCCAGTCGGTCTGGGACTAGGCCTGCTGGAGGTATAAGAGCACTTGTGTCAACCATTTGCACATTCAGAAAAGATAAGGAAAGAGAGGAGGAGGGGATAGGAGTAGTACGAGTTGAAACTCCCACGCCATTAATTGGATTAATTTCTTGGCAAACTGTACACCTGTGT